CCCATCCAGTCTGAGCTACATATACACCTGATTTGGATAATGATGGGTTTAATCCAACTCATCAACCATGTGTCAGTGTGGTTCAGAACAGCAAAATTGCCAGTGCATGCTTGGGTTTTGTTGACTTGGGACTGGACAAACAAGGGACATGATGACAGGCTACAGCATGCTGCCTTGCATTAGGTATGTAACCTTCTATGTCTTAGGAGGTGGATGGGGACTCAACTGGGAAACGTTAGGGTAATGCCTTATAAAAAAAAAAAAAAATCTAAATAAAAGCATGACATTGAAATGCCTTCATCCATCATGCAGTGCCTTCCATTTGACAGCTAAAAGAGTTCTACAAACTTTTGGCCAAAAATGCTGCCTGTCAGGAAGTGGCAACAAATTTCACAAGAACCAGACATGGTGCCAACCATCCAAGGGCAATCAGGATCCCCAGAGAAGGAAAACTCCCAGTGGGTCTTCTGCAGAGTTCAGAGAGCTGGGCTCATGTCAAGAGCAGGGACACTGTGGGAAGACACAATCAGAGCATTTCAAGGATTAAGTTTCAATTCTTTCCCTTGAAAACTTGTGCTCCACAGCTCAGCCCCAGCTGCCTCACTGTTGCACCAAGCTGATGGTTCAGAGCAGACATGGTTTTCTTTCCTGCAAAGGCCCTGAGAGGACACAGCCCTGGGACAGGTAGCACAAGCTCATAAGGACATGGAATTGCTTCCCTACATATAGGCTCTGACCATTGTTCTGTCAGCCCCACTTTCCCTCCCAGCTCATCCAGCCCATCTGCTATAAAGCAGCTATTACAGAGCAAAGGCTTTACAGATGACTGCTTTATTGTGCTTGGGACTCAGTCTACAGACAGAGCAGACACTGTAAGCCCAGAGACCTGGAGTTCTGTGTTCTCCAGACACAAACTTGTTCACGGCTGTGGGCTGTGCTACCCTGCTGCACTAATAATGGAGTATCACCCGGATTTCTATTTGCAGAGGATGCAGGTATAAACTAGAAGAACATTTTAAATCAAGCTCACCTTGTTAGGAAACCTACATTTTGAGAGAGGGGTTAAACTTTCTCAGCACACCCATGGCATCAGAGCACTTTGGAAAATGTTTTCTGACAAAACAGAAACCTGGGAACACCAGGCTTTCTCTTTAGCAGAGAAACATTGTCCATGCAGGAAAGCATCTGTGCTCTTCACTCTCCCCTGCTGTAAAAACTGTCCACAGTGAAGCAAATAGCACTGGCTCCAGAGGAGGGCTGCTGCTTTACTTGAGTGTTCTGTTTGCAGAATACTACTGGTTTAATTACACCTAAAGCAGTGTTTTAAATGCTAGAAGAGCTGTCCATATTCACACCAGCATACCATCTTTCCACTCACCCAGCTGGATCTTGTTACCAAGTTTCTCATGCATTACCTGTTTGTTTTTGCATGCATGTTTAAGGATGAGGAAAGCAGAAATCACTGGGTAAACACAGGCAAAGCATCTCTTGTTGCTGCTCTGGCTTTGAGGGGGATGCAATTTTCTACACTCCTGAATTTTATAGTGTTCAGAATTAAATAGCTAAATCCCAGTGATATGAAGCTAGGTGACTGCAACTGTTTTTTGCAAAAGGTGTGTGTCTGGAAGGCAAAGGAGAAAGAAGAAAAGTGTGTTACTAGAGAAGGAGAAGAACCTCTGGGGAGTTTGTTTTGCAAAGTGTGAATAAAACCAGGGATGTACTGAGGTCCCAGGGAAAAGAAGTGGAATCGTTCTGCCACTCCAGGATTGCCAAGAGCAGCACCAGCATAAGCACAGTCCTTCCAGGTGGACAGAGCACTTTGTGCTCTTCCTGAGGAAGGTGTGTTTCCCTCTACCATACATATTTACCTGCAACACTCTCCTTTCCTGGCTGATCCCTGGGACAGTTCCACCAGGCCTGGGACAGGGACCTCTGCAATCCCAGTATATGGGATAACTACAAAGATCCTCTGCATGAACACAAGGAAGAGGAAAGTCTCACCCTCCTTCTGTCAGAATTTGCCTAGAAGAGTGATTCCACATGGGCCCCTGTGCCACATCATATTCTTTCCTAACCCATGACAGTGAATTCAGTAGGAAGGAAAAAATATGTGTATTGATAACCCAGAAGTATCAGGGTAAGCCATACTGCTGTGTGCAAAACGGGGATGTCAAAGGGTTTGTAGCCAAGATTTCTGTTTTCCTAGCCCTTCTTGCTACCAAAGATCCTAAAAAGGTGGCCCAGGTTCCTTGAAGGAAAGATCAAGGCTATGCATCTCCATCAACAAGGGGATTGTCTACCCTCTCTCCAAATTTCTGCTGTTACAAGGAAAACTTCCTATCAGCAAATAAAGAAAAAAATAACCCAAGTGTTCAAAACATATGTGCAGGAGTATATTTACCCAGAAGACTAATACAGATCCTATGATAATCTCCTTCAGGTTTATGCTTCTGGTCATTGCAGCTGAGCCTCTCTGGGGTTTGTCCCAGAGCAGTTCAGGCAGCTCCAGCACCTTGGGCTCTCATGGTGGAGACAAAGGCCTGCATAGCATCTGCAAAGGCCTGGGGATGTACAGGCACAGGCACTTTACTGTGTCCCATTTTGCATTTCAGCCTTTGTGGCTGAAGGTTCTCAGTCCCATCCTGCTGGCTGGAAGCTCCAGGACTGAGCTCTGCCTCTGCTGGCCAGGGTTCCTGCTGGAGTCCCAGCTGGCTCAGGCCCAAGCTGCAGTAGGAGGAACCGCTGTCAAGTGGAAAGTGAACATCATGTGATTGATGACCCTTAATATACCCAGCCCTCTTCCTCCCCCACCAGCCCCACTCCCTGTGAGGACCATGGCATACCCACTGCTGCTGCTCACGTGGGAATGGAGAGGTGTTGCCCGTTTGGGGATTAACCTGCTGCTCAGTCTCTGCATGCAGCCAACAGGGCTCTGGTCCAGCCCATTTCACGCCTTTTAAAAGCAGAGGTAGCCAGTTCATCAGTACATAACATCACGTGGTGCCCAGCCAGCCGCCGAAGCCCTAACTGCCCCAGCAGCACCAGTCCCTTTGTGCTGCCTGTCTGTCTCCAGCTTTTGTTCCCAGGCAGGTCTCAGGTGCGGGGCTGGATGCCTGGGCCTCTGCGCTGCGTTGCACACTGCGTCCTCACCGGGCTGCCATTGTGTGCAGCCACTGGGCACACACGGCAGGCTGGCACATAGAATGATGGCGTCATGACCTGCAGCTCCTTCCCTCCCTCCCTGGCTCACAGCTGTCAGCGCGGCACTGTCCTGCTGGTAGCCCAGCAGCTCCATCCCCTTTACCTTCCTTTTTCCCCAGCCATGTAGCCCATTCTGTGCCTGGACCTCCTGGCAGGCTGTTTCACAGCTTCTTCCTGTGAGGGTGGCAGGGTGCAGAGATTCCAAGCATGGATCCTGCCTTCAGACTTCTTGCCATGGCACTCCAATGACCCAGCTGGTCGCCAAGAAAATCAGGGGGCTTCTAGCTAGTGCTGGTGGGCTCGCTCTTTCTTAGCCAGCCTCCCCCCCGTCTGCCTTGCTTCCTGGTGTGCAGCCATCTGCCTCTTCATCCAGGAACAAGGTTGCCTGCAGCCTTGGGTCACCCAAGCATGGGGCCTATGGCGGCAGCCATGCAGGGTGCCCCGGGGTCCCTCTGTGGCCTGACTAGAGACCAGGACTGGGAACCTGTAGTGTTCTGCCTGGGAAGTACTTAGTAATGCAGCAGGAGGTATTTTGCTTTGTTTTCCCAGCTCCACACAAGTGGCACCTGCAAGACAGTGACAGCACTGGGAGCCCCTGGCTGTGCCTGTTTAAGTCGCCCTGCCGTGGTGCTGCTCATCAGGCCCTAGACAGAGGGACACGGGTGGGATCCCCCTCAAAAGAAACAGGGTGCAAAGGGGCAGTTTGGCCCTGTGCTGACTGCATGGAGCTAACACAAAGCCTCTTCTCCTTTCTGCAACAGGGAAGCTGCTGCAGCCTTTTTAAATGGTGGGTTACTGTAGGAGACAGACCCACTAGTGGAGACCCAATACCCAGTGATCTGAACAGGAGAACCTGCATGGCCTCACTGCAGCTCAGTTCACCCTTGACCCCTCTCAACCATTGCTGTCAGCAACTCCCTATCCTAAACACCAGTGCAGTGCTGCCAGGATTTAGAGGCCCTGGCTCAGTGAACCTGTTACGAGTCTGGAGCATATGGGAGGGAGCAGGGAAGGAGGGGAAGGGGTGCTATGGCTCTTAGTTGCAAAGAAAGGCAAGGCTGGGATCAGCCCCAGGCCTGGCCACGAGTTGTTTTTTAAATGGGTGACCACAGTTCAGCACATCAGATGCTGTTGGAAAGGAGCTGAGTTCCTATTAAGTGTGAAAGGGGGTTGTTTATAATTTATGGGTTTTAAACGATGGGCCAAGAAAAAGTCTGGCTTGTGCCAAACTGTGTCTCTCTTCTAGATTGTTCATGCTTGTACAAACATTGTAAAAATGCCAGCGATCTCGCTAAAGTAACATTACTTCTAATAATTAGGTTATCATCATGGACTTCTATCACGTTACAAACGAGACGCCTCTGCCAGAGTAACGGAGAAGAAAGCGAATTTATTTACAGAAGATTCCCCCTCACACGTGCTCTTCCTCCCCCACTGGAAACCAAGTCTGCAAACCCCATTTTTCTGCAAAATGAACATAATTCAGGGCAGTGAGCCTTAGTAACACTGTGTTTGTGGTCAGGGTTTGTCTGAAACCTCCTTCCTCAGATCTGAAGAGAGACTATCTGTAAATGGCCTTTTCTTTCTTAACAGATTTAATGAAGGACTAATAAAGTAAGTCAGATCAGACAGTTTGTAGAACAGTCTACAGAACATGGAGGTGGGAAACACTTGGGAAAAGCACCCTGTGTTACCCCAGGGACATCCCTGTAGACATGGTGGTGTCTTGCTGTTTCACAGAACACACAGAAAACCCTACATGGATTGTTTCAGTCCTGGATACATGGATTACAGAACGTTAGAAATACACTATTGAAGTATAATGCACAAGTGGTGTTTAGCCTTACTTTTTGCATTGTTTGTATGTTTTGTTTACTCCTAGACGGAGCTTCTAAGAAATAATTTGTGTGAAAACTTCCATAGAAAACAATTTTAGGGCTCAAAATGGTTTAAAATATGTCTCCAAACAAAGTAGTTTATTCTGTTCTGTTTTGTTTACAGATCTACAACACAGATTCCAAATTTGTTTGGGTAAAAGGGAAATTTAACAAAAAATACACTTCTCAATGCAGCACAACATTTTAAAATCGCACAGAGGGAAAAATAAAACCCTAAGTAATATTTTAATCATTACTGTTCAGCCAAACACAAGTGCAGAAGGCGAGGAAGAAAGCAGGGAGGATAAATAAAAGGAAAAGAAAATAAAGACATAAAATGTTTCTGTGTGGACCAGAATTGGAGGAGTTAAAATACTTCTCACAATAGGAATGCCAGGTCCTGTCATTAGAGGATGGAGTAGGAGCTGCAGTGTTTGTCAAACCTGGAGGTGGCACGTCAGACGGTTTGGTGGAGAATACAGAAGTTTGGGTTACTCTTTAACTCGACACTTTTATAAAGAGGTAAGAATAGTCTTCTCCAAGCCAAATGTACCATCAGGAAGAGACTTTAATGACAACGTTTACAAAAGAAGTGTATCTGTATATCCAACGAGGGATTCAAAACAGCCGTGTGGCTAGAGAGGAGGGAACACCAGGGTTCAGAGCATCATCCGTTTGATTTTTTTCTCCTTTTTTCTCCTCTCCTTTTTTTTTTTTTTATTTTTTTTTTTTTTTTAACTCTTCCCCTTGACAGCTGTCCCAGCGGTGGCAGGGAGAGGCGCGGTGCCGCTGTGCCACGGGCGGGGGGAACGGGCCAGTCCTTGCCGGGGGAGCGCGGCGGCCCCCGCCGGTGCCCGCACCCCGCCTCCGCGGCTCCCCCTCCGCTGTGCGTGTCTTA